TTTTTTTTCCTCGACTTCATTGTTGTTAACAAATTCGAGATTTGTTCAACAAATTGTTAAAACATCGTTGCGCAAACGGATTCTCAGACGATTGAGAAACGTTGAGATTTGTTGATCCCTTATAACCCTTGATTTTAAACCGCTTCTCTTTAACAAATTCAAAAATTGTTAAACAATTGGGGGAAAAATTGTTTCGCAATCAATTTTAATTTAAATTAGGCCCAACTGACTCAGAATAGTGTCAAACGTTGAGATTTATTGGTCTCCCACCTTTTTTTTCAATGGCTTCATTTTTGTCAACAAATTCGAATTTCGTTTGACAAATCGTTAAAAAATTGTCATGGAAACGTATACACAAACAGTAGACAATCGCCTGAAACATCGACATTTATTTTTTCTTCAGAACATTTTTTTTCCAACGGTCGCATTTTTGTTAGCAAATTGTTAAAAAATTGTCGCTCAAATTTATGCTCAAACGATTGAGAATCGCCTGAAACGTGGAGATTTGTTGATCCCTTGAAACCTTTTTTTGAACGACTTCATTTTAATAAATTGAAAAATTGTTAAACAATTGGGGGAAACAGTGTCTCGGGAGAGTGAGGGTGGAAAAATGGGGTACAAATTGATAGGTACAAATCGACTTAGAATCACCCCCTGAATCGATGTATATAAACCTGTACAAACATTTTTTTATGACATTTCGGTCCCCTTCCAAATGGGGAATGGAGGAGCAAGAGGGGGCCATTGTTGGGGGGATAATTTTCATTTTTCCACCCTCGTTCCCCTTTTTCCAAGGGGGCTGGAAGGGTTTTAAAAACATGTTTCTACAGGTCGATGTACATCGATTCAGGGAATGATTCTGAGTCGATCTGTACCCATAAATTTCGACCTTTTTTTTCACCCTCACTAACCCTCCCTCAAAATGACCGAAGCGGTAAAAAAATAAAGTCTTTACAGGGGTGGGTGAATCGACTCAGGGGGTGATTCTGAGTCGATCTGTACCTATAAATTTCGACATTTTTTTTCCACCCTGACTAACCCTCTTAAGATGGCCGATGGGGTAAAAAACAACTAGGCGACAACAATTATGTCATTGTGAAGGATTTAGCGAAATGTATAGGTATGTTTTTTTGCCATCAATAAATTGATGGCGGGCTTCCGAATGATTTTAACAATATTTTTTTCCTCGTCAGGTTGGATCTATTATGAATGTTAAATGGTCGTAGCAATTAAGCATCTATTAGACTACAATTTTCAAATTTAAAAAACGAATTCGAACCTGATATTCTGAGCTATATAATCATTTTACACTAAAATTTGAATATCTATAAAACCAATTGTTCAATTAAGCTCATTTTTCATACTATCCATTGTAGGGATAAACGGACGATTTCGTCGAAATTTGCAGTCTTAATAGCTTGATTTTTGTGCGGATGAAAAAGCGAACAACATTTTTTTTTCAATAACATAAAAGTGTCATATAACTATGATTACTTACAGGATGCTTTTTCCAGTTTTTAATTAATTTCAATAGTGCCAAGCATGACGAAAAGAATGGAATTTAAAAAAATGCGTACAACAATTTGAACTGAAAAATGAAAAAATCTAAATATCTCAAAAAGTTTGTATGGGCAACTATATATATTTTAATTGATAATGACAGGGTACATCGAGACAAAAATTTTCA